ACAATAAGAGGTTGATCAAAATATTTGTTAAGAAAGTTGATTGGTTGCCTGAAGACAGCTGCTGCCACTGCTGAAAAAATCAGTGCTTCGTTTGCATCGCCACATCGCATCATCGCGTTCTCAAGCTTTGCTTGATTTTCGCCATCAAGGTGTATTTTTGTAACAAGCTTTCGGGTCTCCCTACTATTTATTCGAGACTATTCTACGCTTGATATTCGTTCAGTATTCAAATTTATTGATAAACTCTTAACGAAGTAATTCTGTCGAAAAGCCGTACAAGTCCAAACCGCCCATATCATGGAAAGGGTTGAAGATTGGTTGGCTTTCGCGAAAAGTCGACAAACATCTGAGTCTGTTTTTCCAAATGAAATTGCTTTGGAAGAAGATAAAACCGTTCTGCGTAATATGCAAGAGATGCTCGATCATCTACACGCACATCTCTCAAAGGATGGTCATTCCCAACTGAAGAGGTTAGTTGGAAACTTACATAATCCCGAGCAATCGAAACGTATGAAACCAGTTTCGCTGGGTGAATTGAATACGGCCGATTTGTGCTTCATCATTGCTATAATGTTTGAACAACGACTGAGATTTGTGGACGCGGAAAACGCCGAATTAAGAATACTCTTGGAGAGGGCTCATCATCGGATCGGTAGACTTGAGGTAGAGGTTCATAATATGAAACATCCCAACCCAAAGAACTCGTCTATAACCGGCCCTCATCCAAAGATGTCAACTGTTCAGTATAAACGGGAGATGTCATCTGATGAGACGAAAACATCTTGTAATGATCAATGATTAACAGCGCTTAGCATATGTTAGTGTTTGTGTTCCTAAATGTTCTTGCAGCTTTACTCAATTTGTCATCTCGCTGAAGTCTGCAAATCTCATTTTTATTGTGAAATAACCTATTTCATTTCATTATACATGTTTATTAGACCATAGCACGCTCAACTGATCTTTTTTTGCTTCAACCAATCATACAAACGATCTTGAATTTGTCACTGTTCTTATTTCTTATGAAATTGAAATGAGATGTTTTAACAAGCTTATTTCAGTCTAAAAAGTGATATTCACTTTAATAAGCCTTCACTAACCGTATCAAGACCGATTCGGTTATGGAAATGGTTTAACAAGCGTTTAAATGCATCTTTTTGAATCTAGCCATTGTTACCGATATTGTATCACTGTATTCGCTGAAATCTTCTCCTATTTTCCTAATCGATCAATGAATATGTACTTTTGAATCAAATCTTAGTCAACTTCAAAATTTCTGGTTGCGAAACTTTTCATATTAGATTAGAGTTTCGTTCCACTTGTATCTGCATTCCTATCCACACTTTTTCATTTTTTTCATGTTTTGTTGAAGCTTATGTTAGCTTTCCTCCAGTTCGTAAACAGCCGAAAGGATTTTTATGTTCAGAGAACCTCGTTGTCAGCTGTCATTTGTGGTTGTTTGCAACCGTTTTGATTATTCATGACTATGCACTTCTCAATGTAAAAATTATCACATTTATTGTTCATATATCGTTCTCCTTCAAAGTGTATGCAATAAACAAAAAAACGCATTGTGTTCAGTGTATAGTTTTAAAAGGTTTTTTTCGAATGCAACAACATTCAATCAACGACACTTTCAAGTAAAATCATATTGCATCTCAGAGGTATGAATTCATATATTCTTGAGTTTATGAAATGATGGAAACTCAACGTTTGCGAATCAGTCTTCTATTGCAACTTCTCTGAATGATATCAAGTGAAAGAATTTCGCAGAACCTTCTAGCAAGCATCACGATTGGAGTGAACCATCAGTCAGCGAACAATGATTATGGAACGCATTAAGTTGAGTGAACAACGAGCTAAAATTCAATCGTGATAAAGTACATTCGTTGAAACTGAATGTTTATGAGAATATCAGTAAGATGATGTATTCTTTTGAGGGCTCAGGCCAACCAATGATTTGCTCAAAGAATAAACAATATCATATGAAGTTCTTCTTAAGTAATAACATCGCCATTTTCACACGATACAATTTCTCAGCATAGAATCAAAAGTTGATCAAAGTGTTGGGATGAAAAAGAGACAGACGCAATTGCAGTGAACAGATTCAGATGATGATTGAAACAATTGCTTTCTTTCTTTCGAAAGAATATTTTTCACGCCTCTCTCGCTCTAAAAGAGTGAAGAGAATTGGCTCATGGATAACATCATCATAAAGAGATGAAGGAAACAGACCGCATTATGATAGTACAATGCAAATTTTTACAAATGCTGGCTAAGAACATCAAAATAAAGTATGACAAATTGGCGATCTTATGAGAGCAGGTAGGAAAAAGCTTTCAAAGTTCACGGGATCATCAGTGCTTCGAAGGTTATCCGTATATATGAGAGTTACCGATTCTTACGAATAAAAGGTTTCCACGATTCAAATTCCTCCGGATAATAATCCTTCTGTCAATTCAGTGATGGAAAACACCGTAGCAGTTGGGATTTCTCGCTAGTTGACCGGATCATTTTCAACTCGATTAAACGGCACTCGGTTCTCGAGACTTATGGAATATATTCGAGAAAAAACTATGAAGACTTTCTATGCTAGCCAGTGACCCATAATCAATGAATCGAATTAGAGACAGTTCCTTCGGTGCATACGCACCTTTCACATTTCCGCGATCATGCGGCTTCTTCTGACCGTATTTCTGAAAATGATCACACAATGAAAATAACGATCATGAAATCAATAGCAACACTGATAATAATATTTATTTAGGTAATGAAGTGATGAAAATAGCACAATGATTACAACTAATAATTTTGCATGTTCGCTAATCACCTATATGAAGTGGCAGATTCATTTCACTTAANAAAAAAAAATTAAAAATGTGCGTGGGATGTGCTTAGCACATTGTGGTTCAATGAATGATGCTAATTTGCAAATGTGTCTAAATCATTCAGTAAAATCGATCTCATATGAGCAATTTTTTCTGGACCTGTAAAGTCGAGCAAAATTGTGGTTCTCAACAGGAACCTTGTATTGCTCTTCCTCGTGGGTGTTACGCTCTCTTCTCATTTAAAAGTTTATCGCAATCGTCTTGAAACTGAGGTCGTCATCTCTGGTTTTCTCATTTAATGTTCGCATCACTAATGCATTCTCTCACAGATTTATCAGACAGCTTATGAAACTACTTGAATCACCACAATAAAAACCGCTGAACATTATCACCTATCGAAATCAGCTCGCAGACTTTACTTAACTCTCAAATTTCTGCACCACTTAATGCATTCGAAAAATATAAAACGAGCCATTTTCATCTTCTATCCCTAAAAATGTTAAGATACTATCGCAGTTTTTCTTTTGTCACGCTCGATAACATTTCCTTAAGCCCGCAACCACAAAAAGGATTGTAATTAAAGGAGGACCTTTATCAAGCTGCCTCTCGGAAAGGAAAGAAGAAAAGATCTAGCCTGTTGTAACACAGATGCATATCTCATGAGATCAGGTACGTGCACCATACGACCCCTTACGTTCACCAGTGCATAACGAGCGTCTTTGATCGCTCGTCCAAAATAATGTATCTTACGGATGTATTGTATTCCAACCAAATCGATGCACATCGTCCTGAACTGACAAATATAGCAGCAAAACCGATTCAAATAGCTCTTTAAAATGATCGGAAATGAATCGAAAGTTCTTTCCAACTTTTCCGCCTGGAGTTTAACGCATTTGCGCAATTACATCTTGTTTCAACTACAATTTGAGATAGTAGTCCAAAGAAGAAAATCACGGCCATACCGAATAAAACCAAATGATTTGTTATCGCATCGAAAATTGCTTCCAGTTTAACTCAAATCGTTTGAGGGAACACAAAAAATGACTTACGTAATAGCCAAACCAATGATTATGTAGAAGAGATCGATTAAGAAGAATTTTTGTTTGACAGGCACTATATCACCAAAACCAACCTGAATTTTTTTTTTGAGAATCAACTGAGCAAACGTTTTTGCTGCACTGATCACAAATACGTGATCAACATTTCAAATGCGCGATTGATTAGTCAGCTCTCGAATATCTGGCCAAAATTATGCACGCAAAATGTAAAAAGTGCGAAGAAGTTAAGTGCATTAACCGTTGTCATAGTGATGAATGAAAAATAGAATCCTGAAAGGAAATCCCAACTCTCCCAGGTCGACAATAAGACGGCGCCAACAGCAATATAGCCCAATAGGATGCCAACAATTAAAGAGATTGGTATCGATATGTAATTCTCCAATCCGAACTGAAAAACACCACAATAAATCATTGATCAATGCCTTTCATTTAGGCGACTACATCTATTTCATCTTAAAAGAAATCTTCGTTTACACTCATGTTATCTATTAAAGTGGATGGTGATCATTGGGGATTAGAGTGGACCTTGGTTGGCCGTTAAGCCGGTAGCTTCCACTAAGCCAAAAGACTTCCGCTATTCAGATCTGAACATGATAAAGTTTTATTTTATGGCGTTGGAATGAACAAGTAAGTTGTTGTTGATAACAGCCGGTACCGATTGAGTTAGGACACTTGAAATTTTGCAATGA